CCTCCATGGAGTTACGCCATGTCCCCTAGCAGAGGCTTCTGCCCCTGTTGCCAGGTTTGTGCAGATGCTTCTTTTGTAACCGATGATGATGATACAGGTAGGTGCTCAAAAGAAGGAAATAAATAGGAGAGAGACATGTTTCGGCTAGTGGTGCACTAAAACTGCAGCAAAATACAATGTTTGCTGTCTCAAGAAGGACAAAGTCGATAGGAAACGAAATTTTATTTTCAAGCTTTTAAGGGGATATAACAGTGAAGAATAACACAGCCTTAAAGAAGAAAGCTTCACTGTCCCTGTTGCAGGAGAGTTATAAACCTTTGAAATAGGGTTTTGTAATGCAACTGCTGAGAGCCATAACTGCAACAACACAGATACATCTATGGAACGTGTGTGTTAAATAGTTTGTATAAGCCAAATCAATCAGGCTGGTGTCTTAGTTAAGCTGACAGAGTATGTGTCTATGGTCAGCTTAAGGATGTATATATGCAGAATCATTATTTGCAAGTGATGTGTTTGATTTGGGGTAACTGGGCTGTGTAAGTCTCAAAAAGAGTCCCATTTGATTTCTTCTGTACTTTCAGTTTATCAGTACCTTGTACTTGGTGTTTACGTTGGCAGGGAGCAGGTTATGCCCCTCTTACTCATACTGGGCGGCCGCTTTCTCCCTGCGTAGTCCTGTTCATTTTAATAGCACCGGAATAGCACTTGCCCTGAGTGAGGTGGCAGTGTCTGATCCTGGGATAAAGACTGAGTGAAAATTGTGTTGAGGAATTGTCTGAAAGGTTGTCCAAAATTTGATCTGCAATTACAGCTCGCACAAAATCCAAGAGTATTTTTTAGAAGAGCAGCAATCGTGATTCTGGGAGCAGGCTTTCCTTAGCATATTTTTAGCGTGTATTTGCTATTAATTTAGACTATTCCATAGTCCTGGTTGGGAAGATGGTCAGAGCTCCGGTACAGCTTCGGTTTCTGGGGGTCCTTAATAAACCCTTCTTGGAAGAAACGGACACCGTGTCAATGATTTCTTACAGTAATGCTCCAGTATTCCTCCATTCAGTTTATTAGCGGGTTGATAGGTGGACTGCATGTTTGCAAATACTTGACTGAAATTGTCCCGCTGCCTTTGGAAGTCTGATGAAGGAAAAACTGGTTGTATTTCGTGGAGGCGGGCGCCTACTGTTGCTTCCTAGGAGCTGTCAGGAGGAATCAAAAAGGCTTTTCGTGGAAGTGGGATGAAGATTGCATTGAAGATTGCTGTCTGCAGCCTGCCAGCAAGTAGGGCTGTGGGAGAGGACAGCTTTATAGCTCCTCAGCTGTTGCCCCATTTCTGCTGCAGCAGATTTCAAAACCTTTTAATATGCAGCTGAAAGCGGGACTTGCTATTCTTGTGATGATCTGGAGAGCTGTAGGTCAGAGTGGTGCCCAAGGATAAGGGTGAAACTTTTGTAGTCTAAGAAGGTATCACAATCCTAATAGGCCAGGGGAGTCAGCTCTTGGGTGCCTCGTTATTTTTCCTGGTGCCATGAGGAGGTAAGCGGGGCCTGGAGACTCGGAGGTGAGGTGATAGAGCAGGTTCTGCTCCTCAGTCAGCGGTGAGGCTGGGATGATGGGGCTGGATAACCTGGTCTTTATCTGAACTCGTCCGGCTCTTTCAGAGTGCACGTTTGGTCTGATGGGTTGGTATGACTATTTCAGGTGACTTTGGCCAGATTGCAGATAACACGGGAATAGCCCCTTGTATACTGTGTCTGTTCTTGGTCTCATCCACAACTTCAGAGGGATACAGGACAGAGGAAATGTTAAGGCATCAGCAGTGAAAGCTGTGAGAGGAGCTGTTGTGGTTCAGTTCAGACACTGGGACACCATTTGGGTTCATTTTCCTTTTGGTGCATTTGTTCATCCTTATTTCCTCCTCCTCTTTCATCACTTCTTCCCCCACAAATATCTAAAGCTTAAAATAATGTGCTTGCCTTTTATCTGCCAATAGTCTGACACGAAGTAGTTCCTCTTCATAGCCATGAATTTATGTTTGGCCTGTTTACTCAGGTGCTAGACGGTATTTCTGGCTGCACAGATGGTGAGTCTAATACAGGCTTCTGGGTTTGACTTTTATGTTTGTTTACATCTTCATGGTACAATAGTTATTCGAAGAGACAAACTGGAAAATTGTGAAGTGCAACCTTGGGCTTCATACTGAGATGTATGAAGGGCTTGGAAACCCCTGAAGCACAGACCTGGGACCTAGTGTTGGATGGCCCCCTAAGCACTGCCCGTCTTTCCGGATTAGGTGTTTTTTAACTAGCGTAGCCAGTTCATTCATCTTTTGTCCAATACATTAAAATGCTCTTGTTGGAGAAGTGAAATTTGAGGGGTAAAATGCCAGGAATGGGGAAACATGGTGCATTTAGGGCAGTGTCTGCTCGGTCCTGCACGTCCCCATCAACTCTGCATTAATACAGAGCTTTTTCCTCGTCTGTTTGTAATTTTCTTCTGTTTATTGGGATGAGCGGATTAGAAAGATCGGAGGGAATGAGGAAGAGGTTCCTCTTTGTTAGCCTGGGGAGATGCACAGGTAAATGAGTTTGTGCAGATTGAAAGACAACACTTGCGTGGTCAGCTCAGTTTTGCTGAGCAAGTGCACTGGAAGGTGCCTTAGCTTTGAAGCTGCCAGTGTGGAAGGGAGGTCAGCAGGAGGAGTAAAAGTAAGTCTTAAAATTTTAGGGCTTAAAAATAGGGTCAGTTAAGCAGCTTTAAGTCACCCTCTGAGGCTACCTTAATCCTCTGGCCTTCTTCTAGTGAGGGTCCTTTCAGTGTCCAGCACAGAGCTGCATTGCTGCGTGGATGGGGCTCTGGACTGGCAATGAGGGGACCTGAGGGAGGGCCTTTTCCCAGCACCTCTGCTACCCAACGCTTCTGTGGCTTTTCCCCGGTGATTTTGTTATTTTTATCTTCATTTGCAAGGAGTCTCCATTTCTGGGTTCCTACTCTTCTTTGGGTTTGAGGTTTATCGGTGGAAAGGATTATATGCATGCAAAGTAGCAGTAGTATTATGCAGCAGCTCTTCTGAAAAAAACATGCACTTCTAGCAATTCCTCAATAATAAACTGTCACACTTCACTACTGTATGTTTTGTCAGTTATCTAGTGCCAAATGGAGCTGGTCTATCTGTATGTAAGAAAGAGACAGTGTGAGGTGGTGACATGTTAACTGTAATGTGGGAAAGAACAATGACAAGTTCTGCTCATAGTGAGTTTTGCAGTGAGGAAAACAGTTAAAAGTATCTGCTTTGTATTTTCAAAAGTTCTCCAAATCACATACTTGAAGTTCATTTCAGAGTTCAGGGTTAGAAGGGGAAAAAAGTTGTGGGGTCAGAGATTAATGTTAGGTTAATGGTTGGACTGGATGATCTTAAAGGTCTTTTCCAACCTAAACGATTCTATGATTCTATGATTCTATAAATAGATGATGATGATGGTGCATGTCTTTACACAGAATTAATTTGTGTCTTTTACCTAAATTGCAGAACTTAATACTGAGTTTCTAGACATCATATATTTTTGTGGACCAGATTCTTATCTGGCATAAAGTCATCTGGTCCAACTCACCTGATTTCACTGGATTCATGCCATTTTTCTTCTGAATGATTTGCCTTCCGTATTTTAAGAAAATTGCAGTATTCATTGAAATTTGCTGCAGTAGGAGAGATTCTTTCAATACCCTCTGTGTTAGCCAAGTCTTTTTCCTTGAATAAAAAGTTGATTCTTTTCAGAACTTCTTGGCAATAGAAGTTTAAAAACTGGAATTTGAGATTGGTATAACAATTTTTTTGAGAAGCGCATTTAAAACTTAAGTTCTAAGTGTTCTTTTTAAAGTCATCTCCAACAGAAGATAAGCTACAGGGTAGTTCCCTGTTCCACAGGAATTGTCTGGATGACAGGAAAGAGGAAGTAGTAGAGAAAAATTGCTGAATTTTGATGTGTTTTTGTGACTCATTACACCACTCAGCCTCTCTGGGATGTGCCAGGGAATTCTAGGAAAACTGTCAATTGCTGTAGAAATGGGTTCCTCAAAACTTGGTTTTAGTGTTTCACTTCCTTGTCTATGTTTATGTGCAGCCTTATAGGATGATGATATCATATCAGAATATATATATGTATTTCTATAATACACATATGTAAAAATACACAGTTATGCAATGTGAGTATGTATCCAGTTTGTGCAAATTTTTTTTTCACGTATCTAAAAAAAGCTCACTTCTTTCAGTATGGTGAGATCAGTACTGCCAGTGAAATCTACTGTCTTCCTGCATGTGTGTTTGTTCAGTCATTCCTTGTGCTTTGGGTGCAAGCTTTGTGTCCAGTAAAGATGCTTTTTGAGCATCCATTTTATTTAGGGCAGTGTCCCTTCCTGGCATGGGCAGAGTCATCGTGGCACTGAAGGTTCTAATATCAGGGAGAAGAGGTTGTTAAACTTGTATCTGTAGTGGATAAACATTGTGGTTTGTGTTTGCCAGAGAAGTGATTTAATTCAAAATAATGTTAGTGTTTAGAGTTCTGTGGCTTTGTGAGTTCCTGGTAAATCAGCCTGTGCTCTGGATTCCTGTCTGGGGGCCGTGCCTGAGGGTGAAAGGGTTCTTTGCATCTTGCATCAGGGTGAAGGTGCCCTTTGTGACCAGAGCAGCAGCACGGTAAAAAGAAATCCAAAGTCACACACATGAAAATGCCTTTTTTTTTTTTTTTTTCCTTTTTTTGAGATGATCTTGGTATGCATCATAGAAATATCCAGAGAAATACCGAATAAAAGGTAAGGCATGAAAAATTGCTTTATGATGTGTGTTAGCTAAGGCTAACACCACTAGGGTTAATTATCATCTGATGTTAGATCAAGTTTGCTCAACAAGGCAGAAGAGCTGGTTTAAAAACCAAAGTAGAATATGTGCATGGGATGGTTTTTTTCTTTCTCTCTGTTTTAAGACCTTTCCATCACTTGTGTTTTCCCAGGTACCACTTACAGAAGCAGTGGACCCGGTTGAGCTGGAGGACTACCTTATTACACACCCGATTACAGTGGAGTCCGGACCCCTGAGAGACTTGCTTGAGTTTCCTCCCGATGACATCGAGGTTGTGTACACCCCCCGAGAATGTCGAACGCTTGTGTCAGCAGTGCCTGAAGAGAGGTAGGAGGTGACAGGGTGACACCTCAGTTGAGGTAATTAATTGTTCTGGATTTGACTATCTGCAAGGCTGAAGCCTGGAATTTTTGTCTGTAAATGCCTGAAAGAGTAAATACAAACCTAAGTGAAAGTATGTATGTTTAAGAAGTCATTATCATGTCTGTGATTTTGAAGGTGTTTGTTTTTATTCTTTTAACAGTGAAATGGACCCTCATGTGAGGGACTGTGTAAGAAGTTACACGGAAGACTGGGCGATTGTAAACAGAAAGTGAGTTCCCCTGTGCTATTTGTCAGCTTGATTTCATATTTAAATATTTGCAGGATGGCTAGCTGGTATGAGGAGGCTCAAAAATTGTTGTCCTGGCTACTGATTCCATGTGCCCTGGCTTTTAGCTGCCCAGCTCAGCTGAACTGATGCTTTGTGTTTAGCTGAAATGATTCTTGGTGTTTTGAAAATTAGATCTCGGACATCAAAACCCCTTGGGGCATTTTTGAAAATCTAGGTCATTTTAGTCAATAGTTGCTCCTTTAGAATGGTAGAGAAATTAGGGAATTGTAAACAAGTAAAATTACTTCAGCATTTGTTTCTGTCTTTGTTCCATATGTTTTTAGCTCTTTTTAAAGAGAAGTTGCATGAATTTTGTAACAGCGTAAGATTTATGTGCAGGCACAACCACCTAATAGATAATAATATGCCCTCTGCAGCATTCATTTGTTCACCAAGAGACTTTGAGAAAGTACGTAATTTAGACAAATAATTGTTAATATTTGAACTATCACAACATTTATCTAATGAGTTAGCAGTTTAGAGAATGTGCATGCATTGATTAATTTATGCACATTAGCAGGAAGGTTTCTGAGTAGCTTTACTTGGAACATACACTCTCGGATGATTGGAAGTCTGATGACTTCAAGTGCTACTGTCAAGGAGTAAGTGATCCATGTGATGTGCATCACCTACAAATGACTTGACTACAGCTACAGCTCTGCCCTTGTGGCAGTTGCTACAATTCACTGGTTTAATGTTGTCCTGAGAACCACTTCAGGGGATGCTGAAGATATGCTTTGCAGTGCTTAGATGACCTAATAAAAATCTGGTTTGTAATCTCATACCAAAAAAAACCCCAGAAAGAAACCCGAGAGAGAGAGAGAGACGTGTTTATTAACTCCCAGCCTTTGTGGGCAGAGTCGAGAAGGCACAGTGTGACCCACCCAGCCAGCACACCTCTTGGTTTCTCAGTGACTTTCTCTGGTATCTGGAATACCTGGCTGTGATTCCTGCACTGAGGAGGTTTAGTTGGAGACAGTAGAGCTTTCTGTCCTGTGCAGATCAGCTGCAGGTTGCGCTCTGTGTTGGGGAAGGCATGAAGCCGAAGACATCAAAGTTGCCTGAGTGGGTTGAAGGTGTGCTGGCTGATTGTTGAACTACAGTCAAAGGTTTTCTTGCTCCTTCAGAGGAGGAGAGACACTACCATAAACATTCATAGCAGTTTTTACTTGGATAAAATTGTGGCAGTGGAGTGGGTAGAAACAGAAGGTTTACTGCTGGAGCAGGGGAGGAGCCTGAAAGCCTGGCTGGGAAGGATTGAATTGTTTTTCAAGTAAGGATGGTAATAAGTTTCTCTTAATCCATCCTATTGGATGGTTACCAATGCTTTGGCTAGCTCTGGGGGCACAAAATCCAGCTCTTCTAGATTTAGAAGAACATGACTTCTGATGTGCCATCCTTCTCTATCCCCCATCCCAGGGGGAATAATCTTTATTTCAATCTCTGTCTACAGTTCTTTGTAACCAAAATGTTTTTGGGGGCAGACAGCTCCATCCATTCAGTGATTACTTTAATGGTATTGCAAAAGTTAAATAAGTTTTCTTCACTGGCCTGAACAAAACAATAGCATATTCTTATTTCAACCTTATGGCATAATTTCTGTATGCTAGACTGATGGTGGCAATGATCACAGACATCTCTGAAGTCCGGTCTGATTTAGAATGAATTTATGCTTGGTGGGGCTGTGATTGAAATGCAGACATGCAGGTGAGGACTATACAGATAGTTCAGCTCTCAGGAATTACAGCCTAGTGAGGAAAGTGCTTTCCTTCTTTTTCTCCTCCCTTTCATTATTCACTGCTAGCACATCCATGGTTTCCACATGTCTGTACATCCTTCTGTGGTAACTTTAGTAACAGGGCAGGATAAGACCAGTTAATTCTACACGTGACCCCAGCAATACTTCAGGAACTGACTTAGAGTGCGTACTGTAAGGAGACTGTGGCTCTGGCCATATGTGTGTGTAAATATAGACATAGTGCCATTTGGTATCCAAAAATTCGTTAGTCAAAGCGATCTGATCTTGTCAGCCACAGTAGACAGACTGTTTACTAGCAAGCGCTCTTACACCCTGGAAAGCTCTGAAGGACCCAATTCTGCTCATAAAGATGCTATGGGAAGATGCTCATTTTAGTTGGGGTTGGAAAATCATATGTTTTCCAGAGGTGCTCAGGACTTCTGTGCTTCATGCATTTCTACCTGAAGTTGGTGTTTTGGTTTTAAAGGTATTAATATTGTCTGCCCCAAGTCAGTTGTTCTAGCAGAACCACTGGCTTCCCATCCCCATGTTCTTGGCCTGTTTTAAGCTTGGCATCACAATTGCACATTTTATGATGACCTTAATTGGCCATTGATAATACTTCTTTTGACATCACCCAGCATTGCTTTATAGTTGAACAGAGTCACATTGTAGTACTGGAATACTGGTTGTTGGATTATTGCCCAGCTACAGTGGAGGGTGACTGGAAATACTGTTTGCAGAGAGCAATTTATGCTTTGAGAGGACCCACACTGATAATACTGGGTTTGTTTTGTAATTCTGCTTCTGGGTTTGGCGTCAAAAAGGATGCTAAGGATGCATTTGAAATACTTTGTTTCCAGATATCACAAGCTGGGAACTGGATTTAATCCCAACACCTTAGACAAACAGAAGGAGAGGCAAAAGGGGCTCCCCAAACAGATCTTTGAGTCTGATGAAGCTCCAGATGGCAACAGTTACCAGGATGAACAAGTAACGTACCTTTAAAACCTTGCTACATAAAACCTGATTTATAGTCACATTTTAGAAGTGCAGTCGCTTTCCCATTATAAGTTGCTTTTAATTTGTTGAATCTCAGGATGACCTTAAACGACGTTCAATGTCAATTGACGATACTCCCCGGGGCAGCTGGGCATGCAGTATTTTTGATCTGAAGAACTCCCTTCCAGATGCCCTTCTCCCAAACCTACTGGACAGAACCCCAAATGAAGAGATTGACCACCACAATGAAGATCAGAGGAAGTCCAGTAGGCATAAGGAGCTTTTTGCACTACATCCAGCACCAGATGAGGTATCTTTATATACATGTGGGTGAGACTAAAAAAGTGAAGGATATAGGGAATGTGAAAATTGTCGGTCAGATTTAAAGGAGTTAAGATCACCTATGTTTAATATCTATGAGAACCTTAGCTATTTTGTGGGTTGCGTGTTTCTTAGCGTATTGTCTTGCCATAGATACTACTTTCTGAAGGTTAGTTTTCCTTTATGGTTATGCAATCCCCTATAACGTAGAAACATTAAAGGGATTTAATTTAGCATATTTATAGCTGCTGATGAGTGCAACATGCCGGTAAGCCTTGGATTAAATTAGTGCTAGTGTCTTAATAAAAAAGAGTGATACATATGCTTGATTCATAATTATATTAGTGGTTTGTACAAGTGTCGTGTCTCTAAATTGCTGTTCCTGTGACAAATTTCAGGAGGAGCCTATAGAACGACTTAGTGTCCCTGAAGTACCCAAAGAACACTTTGGCCAAAGACTCCTGGTGAAGTGTTTGTCCCTTAAGTAAGTATCATTCCAACAGACAGCTGCATTACAGAAACTGAGAATTTAAATCTGCTGTTTATCCCCGTGCATCTGGATTAACTCTGCTGCCTTGTTTATTACCTTGAAGAGATGTAACGTTGTTTGGTTTGTCATAGGCTTAAAGGTTAGTTCTATAAAGGATAAGTTACACAGTACTGTGCATCAGACAGTTTTATCTTCAAGACTTTCTTTAGTGGTGTGATATAGAAAGTATTCACCTTCCTTGGATTTTCTCTGCGTTGCTTTGCAGCCAGTCTGTAGCTATACCTGTTCCATGTTACTAGCACACATGCTTCACTGCACTCATTCAGGGCTCTGAAGCTGGCCAGTCACTGGTGTTTGGCTCTGTAACAAGGATGTTTAAGTGGGGGAAAAAAAAAAGATTAAAAATTCTTAAGCCTTAAAACATAAGACAACCAGAGATTTGCTGAAGTTTAGGCTCAACAACCTTGACTGTGTCCCTTTAAGAGTGAAGACTTTATATACTTAGCAAGCATTAACTGGAGGAATAGAAACCTGTTAAACAAGTTTAATGAAGTGGAGCTCCTGAATATAGGGTTACCTGCAGCTGGTTCATTGCCTATAACTCTTCTCTAATAACACAAGGTAAAATTTTACTGTTATTCCCTTGGAGAAATAAAGTACAAAACTGATTTTCCACACTGCTGTATTCATCTTCTGTGTCCTCAGTTAGGTCAACCCTTCTTATTAGAGAGCTCTAGTTAGACTACATTGCAGCTCATAACTGAGATATATGTGTGGGACATATCTCCTGCTCATAGAGTACTGCAGGACCTAATACAGCCATAGAGATGAACTGATTTTGCAGCTTTTTATGAACTGGAACAACATAATATGCTGTAGCAGTGGAGCTTCCCCTCCAAAGGATGGTGTCTTTAGCATAAATAAGTTAGATGCTGGAAATTAACAACTTCTGCTATTTAAGCATCTCTTACTGACTGTAAATTTATAGCAAATCTGCCCAAGTACATGCTTATTTGTATACCAAAGTAATCTCTGAAACTGTGCTTAACAGTTGTAATAGCAAGCATCCAAGATTGTGCTATCTTAGTGGTGCAAAAAGAAGTATGTAGTCTCTTCCCCAGGGAGAAAGCTAAGATGACCTAAGCAGGGTCATTTTCAGGTTAATCTTACCTTTGTTGCAAAACTAGAGAAAATACCTGTTTGATGATGCAGTCCTGTATGTTGTTCTCTCTGTTGGCAGAAAGAGTTCCAGGCTGAAAACCTGAGAGCTCTGTACAAGGACCAGGTGCATGGGTGTATCCCACCGTGGACTGGGCATTAATTGCATTGGGAGGGCTGTGCAGACAGGAGAGTGGCATTTCAGCCCCTGCTCACTTTGGTGTAGAGACAGGTTTTGAATATTTTTTAATTTCTTTAACTTCCCAGGTGATTTAACAATAAGTTTAGCTCTATTTGGTAGGTTAGTGTTTTCGCTGGAAGTGTTTCAGTTAGCATAAATACTTGATAACAGTTACTCTGAAAAACTGACACCTTTCTGAAAGAGTTTTTGAGATACTGGTATTGTCTGACAAAAGTTAAATGTTGAAAATTGCCAAAATAGCTGTCCCCAACTCCAGAGGAAGGAGCTTTCTGGTCAGTAATGCTGAGAGGAGCTCTTGGCCATTTAGCCATATCCACAGCTCAGCATAGTAAATTAGCAGATAGGACAGCTTCTCAAGGTAATCAGAGGAGCTGAGTGGTCCAGCTATCCCAGTTAATAATTCCTCCCCCTTTAAGGAAGCTATTAGGTTGCTTTGCTTAGCCTTCAAACAACACTTGAAGAAGATAAAAGCATTTATAGAAGTATGCTTTATGTTTTGTGACTCTAATCCCAACCTTTCTGTTGGGTCAATGAGTTGAAATGGCTTTTAGAAGGTCCAAGGAGCCACCGGTGTGTGTCCTGATGGAAGGGAGCAGGGGCAATGCAGAAGAAGCAGGACAGGAGAAGAGTTGGGGGAAGACTGGGGAGCGAGACCTCCCTTTTCAGCAGGCGCAAGCCCACAGGTCGGCTCAGCTGTTCCTGACATCTCAGCTTAATAGTTGTCAGCCTTCACCTTACCAGGAAGAATTTGGGGAGGGGGTAGGTTAGTCTTTCTTACAAAATAAAGTCAACTGATTTTATGTGTTTCTTTCTTTCAAGATTTGAAATAGAAATTGAGCCCATTTTTGCAAGTTTGGCTTTGTATGATGTTAAAGAAAAGAAAAAGGTATGTTTTTAATTACTTGAGTGATGACATTTCCACCGAAGCATTACAAACCTGTATTTAAAAAAAAAAGGGAGGAATTAATTCTGGAAACAAACCTTTATGAAGACATTGACATACTAGTGGTTGAAAGAATGATGAAGGCATTTCATGAACCATCTTTTGTGTTCTTCTTCTGCTTAGTAAAGCAGTTGAAGTATAACCACTTTTCTAAAAATATTATCTAATATGTGAGTGCCTGAAATCAGAATATATATATATTGTCCAATCTTGGCTTTCAAAAGTCTCTTCCCCAGAGAGAACTTAAGTAACTGAAACCTTTTATTTAGATTAAGTTTTTATGACCTTCTTAATCTCTTTTTCGTGATTCAGCATGGTATGTGTCCAAGTAACATTTTAATAATGCACAAGAAAGTCATACATGCTAAAATTGCTAAAATCAAAACAAAATGGAGGAGTGTTTTCAAGATCTAAGTTATAGGAAATGTAAAACACATTTATTCCCCTATTTATGTTCTGTATTTAATATTTGAAGAGTCTCTTAGTTTTTCTAATTCAAGATATTAGCAGTAGTAGAGAGAAAAATGTTAAAAATATGTATTTTGACATTTATCTCTTTAAGACTTGAATTTAATGCATTGAGTTTTAAGTTATGTAGATGAGAGTATGTGGAATATTATGTGAACTTTGTTTAATATTTAAATCACATTTCATAAGCCAATTTTATCATCTCCTTACTCCATTTTTTTTTCTCTAACGTAGTAAGTTCTTTAGTGACCTCTGGTGTTGATAACCAGCTCACATTCATTTTGGCTTTGAAGCCTTGATACAGTTGAGGATTTGGTGTTTCAGCATAGAAAACTCACTGTCTGTCTTTCAAGATGTGTTGTTTTTTTCTGTGAATGATCTCAAAGATCATTTTCTATTTTGATACTTTGATATTTTCAATTCAGATAGCAATTGCAATTTCTAGTCCTGTGGTGGAATTACATACCTTACAGGAGCTAGAGGAAATTTTATAGGTATTGTGTATTGTTTGCTCCATTTCCTTTCTCCTTTCTCACTGTCCTGCCTTGATTTCTTAAAGAAAAGGCCTTTTTGTTTTTCTTTTTATACATGGTTTGAAAGGAGGCACTGTTGGTAGGTTTTTTACTTGTATTTTGAAATTGTCTGTTGTGTTTATGAAGAGTTTACCAAAAATAAAAAGTATAACTAATGCTTGAAGCTACCCAACTTTTTCCTTAGATTTCAGAAAATTTCTACTTTGATTTAAACTCTGAACAAATGAAGGGAATGCTTCGTCCACATGTCCCCCCTGCTGCTATATCCACTCTGGCCAGATCTGCCATCTTTTCTATCACTTATCCCTCTCAAGATGTCTTTCTGGTAATAAAGGTAAGAAATGCCAGAGAAATTTAAATTATTAATTGTCTCTTGTTTTCTATTTGAAATAAAATATAAACAAATCTGGCTGACTAGTTGACTTCTTATTTACATTTGGAGAGCAGAATTCTATTCTTAAAAGCATAAACACCAGCACCACAGAATTCTGTTTCATTTCAGATATTCTCATGTAGTACGTTAAGTTCCTTTGTAACAGAAACAGTTCAGTGGAGATATACATTGTGGTATTATTGAAAAACTGTGAAGAGTACAAGGGTTTGCTTGATATAGAGCAGCTTTCTGGGGCTTGACCTTGGTTTTCATATGAAACAATGTGCTGACTCCTTAAGATGATAGATAAGTGAGTGAGTTTAAAATCTCTATTGATCTGAATCTCATTTCAAAAATGATATATGCCCTTAAGCCAGATTTTCAAATGTCTTTAAGAATTGAAATTGGTAAGAGAGTGAGATCCGTAACTGAAATAAAATGCCACATTGGTCACTCCTTGAATAAAGTATACAAAGATAAAAGTTATTTTCTCTTCTTTCATTTGATTCAATGAGCACACAAATATTACTAGTTCTGATTGGCATTTGAATCAGTTTTTTTTGGCTGGTCTCTGCATAAAAATCATCCTATTGTAAAAAGGGGAGTTCAATACATGCTTTCAGTTCACAGGCAGTGTCTACATTGCCTACTAGCTAAGTGCTGTGTTTTGAGAACTGTGTTGACTGAGGTTTGTGCAAGTTCTTCATGAACTGCTTCTTACATAAGGAATAAGCTTTTGAAAATTAATTACGGCTTTGTGGCATGACAAAACAGTCCCAGGTGAGAATAAGGCTTTCAGTAGTGTCAGAGCGTATTCTGATCTCCAATTTTTGGTATGATTCTCTGAAAAAAATCATGTTCTGCCTGTGCAGACATATTCAATCTTCTGATTTTTACAAGATATGAGGAGGAGAGAACCCCATATTTATGAGATGGGTATCTGTTCGAAAGAGCTTGTGATTGCACATTAGTGCTTGTAAAACCAGTGATCCAAGAGGAGCTGGAGGCTTAGGTGATTTTTTGATTTGATGATGAAAAGGATATAGTCAGGGATAAATAAGACAGATGCATAGCGTGCCTTACCAGTTGAATTTTCACATGGGTCTTACTCACTGGGAAACCACTTTTCAGACAGCTGGTATTGCTAGCATAAACTCACCAGGGAGTGCAAGATTTGATGGAAGGTAGTTTTGTTCTTTATATTGTGGTAGCCTCTTGGGGTTCTACTATAGACAAGTATGAATGGCAATGTATAAGCATGGGAGAAGTTTAAAGGTATTCTAATCTAGTAACAGCATGTGCACAGTAGCAGGCATGCGATGGAGGGCCAGGATGCTTCTGAAAGAAACAGTCTTCATGCACGTGCTAGAGAAGATATTTCTATTAGAAACTGAGTGTTAAACAGTTTTGTGTTCAAGAGACATTGACTGACTTGGAGACTTGAGAAGTAAACATCAACTCTTTGGCTAATTTTAATTATGTGATTATTTCATTATTTGATTTGAAAACACACTGATTCAAAATAGTGCTTGTTTTAGCTGAGTGCATCTGAGTCACCTGTTTGGGCTGCTGCAATAGGTCCTTAATATGGAGAATAGAAATAAGAACAGAATTCTGAAAATGGTGATGCTGAAGACAGTTAGTGTAAGCTGTCTTAGACCTTAAAATGAGCTAAAAGTGGCTCTAGAACAGATCAAAGCAAAACAAAGTGGTGTATGTTCCCTTTGAACCTATATTTTACATGTGTGATTCCGTTACAGCTGGAGATCTGGGAACTTAATGGCTCTAACAACTTGAGTGCAGTGCTTGTTCCCTGACTCACAAAGGGAAATCAACCTTTAACTCTTCTGAAAGAATGTTTTTCCTTCCTGTTGTTTGTTTAATTTAACAATCCTTGCTGGATACATGTCCTTATAATGGTTCATTTTCCCTTCTCAGCTGGAAAAAGTATTACAGCAGGGAGATATTGGAGAGTGTGCAGAGCCTTATATGATTTTTAAAGAATCTGATGCAGCAAAGGTAAGAATTTTTTGATGTTTTGATTCAGTTGGGCTACAAGCACTTTAAGGCATTTTGTTATTAACAAATCAAACATACATTGTTTTCTTTTACCTTGCACTTAACAACCATTGATACTGTTCCTGTTGTTAAAAGGATCCATTTTTAATTAAGAATCTAGTCAAATTCTAAAGGCCAAAGAAGAGGCAAAGACCCTTGAATCCTGGTGTCTTATTGGGGTAGAGTAGTTAAAGGTCATCAGTTTTTGTAGCTGACAGGGGAGATGTGTGGTTACCATCAAGCTCAGTCATCTGTGATTCCCTCTCCCAAAGGATCAGCTGTGTGCTTATAGCTGGGTCAAGTGAAGGCAGCCTTTGATGTGAATTTGCAGTAAAATTTAAACTTTTCTATTGCTTCTGCAGCTTACCCCATCATAGTACCTCTGCCGTCCTCTAGAAGGGTTATAAAGTGGATGAAATATGTTAACAGGAGATTCTCCATCAGCCATCTCCATCACAGTGCATTTGTGGTTCTTTTTTTCTGCTATTTTCTGCTGATTTTTCTTTTTCCTAATATTGTAAAGAAGGGCCATGCTCAACAGCAGGATAAAGCTGCCCTTTTTACATATAGTAAGGATAGATTTAAAATTTTATACTTTACTGTTTGGTTTTTCCACTGACAATGTCCCTTTAATTCCTGCCAGCAGTTTGAGCATTGTCCTCTAAAGTGCAGTGGATGGCATGGACCTGCCCCACTTTGACTGATTCTTTGTTCCCACACATGTTTAAATGCCACCGCCTGTCTCCTTCCTGTAGAAGCCCGTTGCACAGGACTAAAAGCAGAGGTTTCCCCACAGAGAAGAATGCCATCTTATTCCCTGCAGTCGGCAGCTGGTTGCTCATTGAAGTGTATCAGAGTCTGGGTGGGAATTGCAGGTTTGGTAGGTTAAGGAACAAACAGGAATGCTGGTAACACCTGCAGAATTCAGTGGCACCTGGACTGTGACCTTTCCTCACTCTTTTCCCCCACAGGCTGCTATATGTTTTTCTCTAAAACAACGTGGCTATAGAATAGCAAATCACTGATTTTATTGTCAGTTGAGCTAAGTATGTTATTTTACAACTCCAGTTTGTAAGATGTACAGGAGAGCTTGAAAAGGAAACCTTGTGTACGTAGAATGTGAAACAGTGCTTTTGAGCCTCAGAAATGGTTCCTAATTTAAATGTACAATTGGGTTGAGCCAAGCAAACATTAAAAGGTAATAGTGAGGACTGAATGAAGGGAAAAAAAAAAAAAAGAGATGCCAGTCCTTCCTGCGATTAAGAGGCTTCCCATTATGCTTTTTTCAAAGGAGCTGGGATGTTAATCTGTTAGTCTTGATCAAACTCTAACAAAGTTTTGCCTTCCTAAAGTTCTAATATATTTTTAGCTGAAAAAGTTCATGGTTTTTGTCTATCTCTGTCTTTATTTCACTGCACTACAATATGAAAAATGGATCTCTTTCACCTCAGGTATACATAGATAACAAAAGTAAAAAACTACATTTCCTGTGATCAATAAGTTGACATGTGCCTAAGTGAAATTTTGGAATTGGATTTGCAGGATGCTTGGGAATGTAGGTGAAAAAGTGATTTTTCAAGGTCTCCTTCCCAGCAAGGTGTATAAACATGTCCTGAACTAGAAGAATGTGAGCAACACAGCTCTCTCTCTTGTTATCCAGCCCCCTGTCTGGGGAATTCTTGAAGGCCTGTAGGTAGCAGCCTTTCTAAAGCAAAAATTGCTCTTTAATATGCAGAATTATGGAAAAGTCCTCTCTTATTCCTTTTTTCCCTCAATAAAATGAGTGTGATACTACTTATTTGAGGAGTGTTTTCAGTTTCCCATGCAACTCCAGATGTTCTGAGCACCTGCTGCATAAAATCACAGTTAGAAAGGCCATTTCAGACTTCATAGAGTAAAATTCAACTTTTCTTGAAAGGGCAGTGGGCAAATGAGCTCACTGGGATTTGACAGGCTATTCAGGAGGCTTAAGAGCACGAAGCCAGGTGCTCTGACTATCTGGCTCTCCTGTGTCTGCTACCGTTGGCCTGTTGGCATTTTTGTGAAGCAGAAGTCTGATTGCCTAGCACTTCGTGATCCTCCTCTAGAAGGTGCTGTTGAAGCACAAAGTCATTGCAAGTTAGAAAAGGTACCATTGTTACTTACTGATTTTGCTAAATGAACCTTTGTTCCTATTCCTCTCCTTTTAATCTCTTGGATTGAACATTTTCTTCACAGAATAAAGAAAAGTTGGAAAAACTGAAATGCCAGGCAGAACAGTTTTGCCAAAGACTAGGCAAGTATCGAATGCCTTTTGCCTGGACAGCCATTCATTTAATGAACATTGTGAGCAGCGCTGGAAGTTTGGAAAGAGATTCCACAGAAGTAGAAGTTGGCACAGGAGGTACAGTATCTGACATCTGCATGAGGGAATGTGGACAAATCCAGAGTTTACTGAAGTCTTGATTCATGTCCTGTATCTGCCATTGCTCCTTTTATCACTGTTCTCCCTCTGCCCTAGGCAGGGTCTTGGGTCATGGTTGAAATAAAACAGAAAAGTCTATGATAACAAATGGATTTATCTTTCAAGGATTTTACAAGCAAACCATCTGTTATATTATTTAAAACCAGGCTTCTAAGACTGAGAGAGCGTTACAGGCTGATGAACATTTTCCAAAGGAGTGGATTAATCTTTGTGAACCACACAGCTCATCTGAAACTGCTCTTCAGCATCCCCAAAACTGCCAACTTCATCATCTTTCAGAGCAGGAGAAACACATAAATCTCCACACGATAAAGACTTTTATAATAGCAGTAAGGCACTGGGGTGAGGTTGCTGTGAGAGGAGCAGAAGTAGTCAGCTGTGCTTCATAGCCTCCTGATGCCTCAAGAGTGTGATTGTCTTAGCATAACCACCTCTTCTATCACACTTATTGCATAATTTCCAAACCCAGCAGCTATCTTCTTGTGTAGAAAATCCTGTTTGGAACAAAAGTAGGCTCTTGGACAATTGTTTTTCTTCTTTTTTTTAATTAATCCTCTTTTTTATTTTTTATTTTTTTAAGAACGTAAAGGATCATGGTCGGAGAGGCGGAATTCCAGTATTGTCGGGAGGCGTTCATTAGAGAGAACCACAAGTGGGGATGAGGCTTGCAATTTGACCAGTTTTAGACCAGCTACTCTGACAGTGACAAACTTCTTTAAGCAGGTATTGTATGAAGCTATCTAATTAAGGAGTTGCTCCTTGAACAGAGTGATTTGATCATGTGAAGTTGGTTTAGACCCAAGTGATTAATTTGTGGTGCTTTCAATGCATGTAATGTCTGTTCCCTGATCACAGGATGTCTTTGAACAGCATGCAGTGGCTTTATTATATCATGAGCTTAATTCTGCCAGCAGTGGGTCCACAGTCAATTGGTGGTTTTTTTCAGTAAGTTTACTGTGAATAGTTGTGTTAATGGAATTTCAAATTATTAGCTGGCTTTGACTTGAATGATGAAGTGTCATTATGGCATAGTGACTCAACTAATAGAATTGGGTCTCCCCAGGAGAATATCAGTTTATTTTCCTCCAGATTTTTCTAACATGCATTGGAAAAATCACTGGTCAACATATTTAGAAAAATGCTCATAGAAGCAAGTTCACAAAAACTGAGGATAACCTCTTTGGGTTAGTATGTGCCAAAAAGTATTCCAGATATTTGTCCTAGTGTAGGAGTTGCATAGCCTTTATCATGATGGTCAGTTGACTCCTTTGGTTTCATTGGGTGACAGAGAATCTCACTGAAACATCAGCAGGCTCAGAATGAGGTTCATCAGTGTGATTTGAGGTTGGCTTCAGTTCCCTGGACACATCCAGGGCTGCCTGAGAAAACAAAGCATTTCACTTTGGTTGCTGCTTTACAGAATGGCAGCTCTTTTTAGCCAGAGCTTGGGATTTTCCTGAGAATCAGTAGAAAACATGATTAAACACAACAAAATTTTTAGTTAAGCTTAGAAAATGGTTTCAGTTCATTAATTTTTGCTAAGATTTGCTTAATGCCACATCTGGTTCGGGAAAATAGTTATTTGAATGTCACCTTTGTGTATAAAAAGGGATTTAATAGTAAGCAATCAGATATTTTTTGGACTGATTTCTCGATTATTGGGAATACAGAGATTTAGATACTATCTATTGGAAGTTGGTTAAGCTCTTTTTTTTTCCTGATTGTTTTGGTTGCGTGCCACTTTCAGTGTGGGTAGCCATCCAAAGTCTGCTTTTAAATCCAGTAGGGTAAATAAGGAGAAATGTCATCAAGGGCATGAAGTTACCATGGTGCAAACCATGTAAGTGGAGGGTGATTCATGCCTCTGGTGCGCTATGCGTTCATGAAACAGTGTGACTGTAATTGGGCTCTGGGAATGGTATCTCTGGGGTCTCAGTGACACAGAGCAGCACAGGAAGGTCATTTTACTTGGGATGTTAATAAAATCCAATTCTGTAACGTATTCACCCAAGACGTAGAAAGTAAGAAAAAGAATGTATTACAGCAATGTTAATGCAGCCATTCCACTGACCGTGTTCTGCAGCCCTCTTTGTAATATACACCAGTTCACTAAGTTAGTAATGATTTACAAAAGCATATATTTATCTACTTTGTCAAGGTTGTTTTCACTTGACAACTTTGAAACAGCTTGTTTTATTAATTTATTTTTTAAAAATTGCCAGACATTGATTTAAGATTTTAAGTTTCTTATTCTTCTGTGTCTTTTATTTGTTATCTCCCCTTCTTTTTCTCCTGTTGAGTACAATTAATTGAATACTACCCAGTGTTTTTCTCCTTCCATTTGCTTTTTTTTTCATATTGTGATTTATTACCTTTACTATCAGATATCTTCTGCTTTTGGATAGTTAGAGGGTGGCAGAGTTACATTTTCTATAATGTTTCCAAAATTGATGAAATTCTGAGCTACTAGAATGTGGCACAAGGAAGACTGACAACATACTCCTTCCACTTCCCACCATTTCTTAACACTTCTGAAAAGTAAGACTCTTAGACTCATACCAAAGAAAAGGTAGAGGAGAAGGAATGAGGAATGAAGATCACTACCAGACAGATACTTTTTCAAACTATTACACTTGCTAAAAAATGGATATTTTGGGGAAATCTTTTAACAGCCATTCTCAGTTTTGAAAAAGATAATATTGATGGGGAGAGAAAACGTTTTCAGTGAGAAGTTCCTGCAGCTGTCATGATGATTAATAAGGAAAAAAGGAAGGAAAAAGGATGGAGAAATGAACTGTAATTTAGCATGTTAATCTTAACACCTTGTTCTGGGAAGGTACATTTTGATATCAGAGGAAAGAGACTATAGTATTAGATGGTTTACTCATTCTCTTGCAATCCTGAAGGGTTGTGTAGATAACCATTTTCTTCCCAACATCCAACAGGAGGGTGATCGCCTGAGCGATGAAGATTTGTACAAGTTCCTTGCTGATATGAGACGGCCATCATCAGTGTTACGGAGATTGAGACCTATCACAGGTATTGAATGAGATCTTTTTGGCTCCCATCTGTTAAGGTATTTGGTTAGTCCTTCCCAATTGCCACCTAGTTCTTATAAGTAAGCAGATGAAAAACCCCTAAGAAGTCATTGACAGCATTCCCTGGTAGACCATGAGCACTAAAGATGGCATTTTGGCATGTTTTTCACTGGCACATGTGCATATGCAGCTCCTATCACACTGAGAGTAGCATCTGTGAGAAGAGGATGCAAACCCCAAAGCCCTAAACCCAGCAGGGGCTTAGGAACATCTGTTTTCCTGAGTAAAATACCTCTCTCCAGCTAAGAGGAGATCTCTCTCCTGGTTCCCACTTGGTTAACAGGAACAGACTCCACCTCTGTTTGAGAAAGGGAAATAAAAATGCTGGCACACCAGCAGTGAAACATCACTGGTCCCTGACCTGTGCTATTCCTGACAATATTTACTTAACCTGTTCTTAAAAATCTCCAGCAACAGCAATCTTACTGCTTCCTTAGATCATCTCTCCCAGCACTCAGCTGTTCTTGTAGTGAGGTTAGGTATTAAGAAAACTTTGCAAAATTATCTTGCTGCAAATTAATCTGATTATGGTCTGTCATGCCCTCAAGGCAGTTATCACAACCTTTCAAATACTTGAATACTGTTACTAGTTCACTCTTACTTGCCTCCATTTTGTAGCCTAACCAGTCTCAGGTTTTTTTTCAACCCTTCTTCAAAGGCTGTGATTTTAAAATTGCCTGTTACTCTCTGCTAGAGTTTCTTTAATCTGTCCATGCTTTTCTTCAAGCACAGTGCTCTGAACTGGGTATGCTGCTCCTGCTAAGACCTCATGCCAAGCAAAGCAGATGAATTTGTCTCCAGTGTCTTACACATGCACTGCACATCTTAAAATGGTTGTAGCTTTCTTCTGGATGTTGGCTTATTGTCACTGCTGTTGCCCAGCCCTTTTCTACAGAATTGATCCATGACAATTTTTTTTTTTTAATGTTTGTGTGTTTAGCTGCTGCTTAGGGCAAGTCCTTTGCTCTTTCTTAAGTTTCACCTTAGTCATTTGATGCCATCTCTCCAACTCTCCTCTCTTGCAAATTTTTACAATCATTCCAGCTTCAGTGCCATCCACCAGCAAGATGTGTGCTGTCAGTACTGTCAGCTGACTTGCTAAGGAAAATATTCATAATCTTGGTGCAGATTAGGTTTCAGCAATTCTCTTTATGTATCCTTCTGGTTTGATAGGCAAGACTCTGGATGAGACTTTGGATATTGTTTGTTTATTAGTTGGGCCTCACAGTAGCATTATTATGGTATTTCCCCAACTTGCCTATGAGAACAGCATTTGGACTTGTTAAGATATCTCTTTTCTGTTGGTTCTTATTGTCTGGTACTCCAGTTGCCCTAGACACCAGTTTGATTCACTGTTTTTTGTTTTTAACAATTCCACATTTGCTGTAATTTATAATTTCTTTATTTATTAGAATAATACATAGGATATTAACCTGAAGAAACAAAGCATTAACATGCTTTTTTGTTTATATTTAACTACTATTTATTGTAATAAAAACATTTTATTCTTACAGCTCAATTAAAGATAGACATATCTCCAGCTCCAGAGAATCCCCATTACTGTCTAACTCCAGAGTTGCTGCAAGTCAAACTTTACCCAGACAGCAGAGTTAGACCTACAAGAGAAATCCTGGAGTTTCCTGCCAGGGATGTCTACGTTCCAAATACCACATACAGGTTAGAGTTTTGAAATACATTTCACATTTCAAGACCTGGGACTGGCAAATCTAGAAATTCCTACCTTATCATCTGGTTCATTGCAAAACTTGCTGTATCAGTAGATCTGCTGTGCCAGAGGCACAAAAAGGGTCCAGACTGACACAGCAGAAAATACACAGATGTGAAGGGACAAACATATTTGCGTAAATCTTGGCTGTGAACAGGAACACGAGAGAAACTTCTCCATTTCCCAGAATTCACAGTGAAATTTAGTTGAATTCTTTTCAGTTTTATGTAGGTTTTTTTCTTTGACTGTGTGCTAAAGTCATCATTCTCTTACTGTTTCTGTTACTTTCTGACACTTTCAGTGACTTACTTTTTTTCTTTAAAGTAGGGGATAAAAATTAAGAAAATGCATAATCCCTTCATTCATATTTCCATTTTGATTTAAAAGCAATTCCTTTGTTTACAATGCTTGGAGAAAAATTCTTCTGAAGATCTGGAAGATAAGAAATTTTTCTAAAGTACCTTGGAAAACAATAACCTTGCTATAACTAAGCCCAGGCAGGAAGCAGATTTCTTTTCATTATGTACCACTATTCATTTAAAGTTTTTTTTCACAGTACCTTTGAAGACATTACCCCTCTGAGTGGAATTGTCTTCTTCTGTTGAGTAATTTCACCAACTTACTCACCAAATCAGTTACTTCTTGTTGTAAAAATGAGATGAATTCAAACCAGGTTTTTGTAAACCAAAGCTTACAAGAAAGAACTCAGTCAAGTTCCATATCGCATGTCTTTTCAAAATATTTATTTATTTATTTACATACCTACTTACATACTTATTTATTCTTATAGGTTGGACACGTAATTAAACATTACAATACACCAGTACAAATAAGCAGCACTGTGTGATCCCTTCTTTGCAATAAATCCACGAGGAGTAAAAGTGTTTTTATAGTTTCTCTGTAATTAACGCGTTCTGTTCACAGTTGCTTCACTCTGACAAATTACAATTTAAAACCATTTTCTGTATGGTTGCAAATGTTGAGATAAAAAATCCATACTGTACAAGGGTTAGGTAACATATACAAGTCAATATGACTCAATATAACTGCAGAATTGGGGTCCTTATCAGTCAACACTTCCACAGCTGGCCATCCACAAGCGTGTCAGTAGTCCTTCTGCCTTATAGTATTCTGCAGCCAAAGTTAAACACGTGAATGTGTTCTCAGGAGCAGGACCAACACTGTCACGTAGGTTGTGCCTACAGTGTTTGTTGGTTGGTACCATTGACTCCATTGGAGTTGCCCCCTACAGGCAACTGTTCTCTATTTGAAAGGTGTTTTGTCATATGCTCACTTGGCCTTTCATTTAATTTCTTAGGTGTACTAAGAGGTTGCAAAGGGATGGCTCTGAATCCATTTCAAACGAGAAGAAAAGATCTCTTATTTATTTCAGTAAGCTTTGAAGCTTAGCTCTTAACTTTCAGTAGGAAAGTGTAGTTCTTAAGATATTCTTCAAAGTGTGGTATCTAAAAGATTAGGTCTGTGCTGTGGCTTACTTGATGTGTGTGTACACGTCTATAGCTGCATAAGTACAGTGCTTCCATGAAGACTGGCCTGAGCTACACTGCTGAAAATTTGTCTGGAAATGCACAGAACCCTAAAATGGGGAATTACACATCTTTCATTTGCTCATGGAAACATTCCGCAACAATAACATGAATCAAATATCGAATTAGTTACTTTATGAAACAAAATTTCTTTTTTTTTTTCCTTATAGATTAATACCTAAATGTCTTCCACAGCATTTTGCCAGCCGTTTGTATACCGAAACACTTTCCATGTTCCGTACTACACAACCCAGAAAGGAATGCAACAGCCTGAAAACCCATTCCCCCAGGCAACACTATCTAACACATGAATAGGCAGCTGATTCCTAGGCATTAGAGTTTCACCCTGGAGAGGTAAAAGCTCCACATAAGTTACAGCTCACTGACATTGGGGCTGGGGCGAATGAGAATACTCACCAAACGTACTGTAAGACCATCGCAAATGCCTCAGGGTTTATGTATTGGAGAATACACCATACAGTGTATGGATTTAGACATGCATTTGTTATTAAACATAATATGAGCTTCTTTGATGTAGTAATGTTCGGTGTATATGTTCTGAATTAAAATGCATCAGGTTGAGCATTCAGTCAAAACTTTTTAAATCTGTTGGGTGTATCATTATTTTGGTTGACTTGAGCAAGTAGTATCTTCCTTTCTTAGGCTTCCAATATAAGCCTTTTCTTCTGTCTAGTCTTCCTCTTGACCTTGGTGCAACGTATTTCCCATTAAGATTGGTTTCCTCACATTCACTGTGCCACCAGCCTCCTAAGGAAAAATATTGTAATGTCAGTTACTGTCCGTTGTACCCTAACACACTGTGCTCAGTTTCCAAGTAGACAGCTCCCATTTGCAACGTAAATCTTTAGGCCAGTTCCAGCAAAAGTGACAATTACCCAGTATACCCAAATGAAATGGTGCTTGTGTGTATACCCACTTACACTTGCAAGTTGAGCGCCAATACAATTCAGAAGTTGTGCTCCCTGTTATTGTCTGCTTCACAGAAAAGAAGTGATGCATGGAAAACTGCACACACAAATGCTGCCACTGCATTGGGATGCTTACGAAGTTAGCTCCACACTTTCATGTTTCGCATGACCCTCTACAACTGACTTTCTGATTTGCTGATGTTTTTCTCAGGTACAAATAGTTAAATCTCTGCATCTACAGGAGGCTGAAGAGCCTTCAGTAAACAAATTCTCTTTTTTTATTGGTTGGTGTCCTTAACCATGAGCTTAAATTGTAAGCCCGGTTCTGCTGGCAAAGGACTGGCAGTGACTCTGTGCTAAAAATGAAAGTTTAGTACTTTGGAAGTAATTGGCCATCTGCTTTATGGTCACTAGAGCTGAGTAACACTTTCAGCATTGTTTCAGACATTAACAATTTTCAAGCCTAGAATGACGTACAAAATGTTTGTTGCATGAAGCAGGTGTCTGGAGGGCAGTTCTGTATCCTGTGGTTTAATCATTAATTGTCTTTTCAATTGTTTGCTTGCTATAAACTGGCAAAATAGAAAAGCTTCATAAAATCAAAGCATTAAGAATCCTTTAACCAAATTATCTTTGAGGAGAAATATGTCTTCAGCCTCACATCCCTCTTGCTCTTTTGAGAATGATCATAGCATGTATACTTGACAAACAGCTAAAATCTGCCTTTGAATGGAAACACGCTGTCATTCTTAACTTTTGGTTTATAGTCAAAATGGAGTTAAGAGTCAGTTTGTCTTCTCTTTTTTTGCAAGGAGGGATTAAACAATCCGACCTAGGGCTGCCACACCAGAGCAGGCATCTGAGGAAGAACTGCCCTTTACTTCATAGCTCAAAATACCATCCTGGGATTTTATTTCAACCTGTGCTGCTAGTTCTGTTTCTGATGTTGGTCGTTTGCACAGCCTCACTATGCTTTAGTTTTACCTGTCTGTAAAATAGAAAGGTGATGTGGTGATGCCTCGTTATAGGCCCCTGCAATCTGTCAACAAGAAACATCTTCTGCCCTTTCCTGCAAGTGGAAAGATGCTGCTACCCTCTCTTTTCTGTAGGTAAAGCCAGGCTAATATCAGTAACCACCCACCAAAGCATACTACCGTCCTTCATGTAACAAAGAAACTGCCATGGTAATATACCCAGCATACTGATACCTAGGTAGTTTTCTGGACAGTTGAAGTCATTTATTATGTCCACATCACGGTCTGCAGTTGAGAACCGCAGTTCTGTCTGCTCCGGCAGTGCATTGGGGATGCTCCCGGAGATCCGTGAAAGCTGGAGAGTGTAGTCTGTTTCGGGGCCTCCCAAGCTGAATGCGTACTCGATGTAACGTTTATTATCTTTCCAGTCCTGCAGCTCAATCCGTAAGATGTAGTCCCCTTGTTTAGTAATGGAATAGGTCTTATTCAGGCCTAGCCAGAATTCCTCTGCAAAGTCGTAGTAAATAGATGCTGTTAATATGGAACTAGGCATGAAAACAGTTACCATGTTTTTCAGATCTCTAAGCCATACCTCAGATAGCTCATTCACCTTTAAAATATCAGTACTTGAAAATATGTGTTCAAATAAGCTGTGCAATGTCAGAATCAAGAGGTGTCAGAGGTGAGGATTAGGGGACAGAAGCCACCAGGCAGAGAGTTGGTGGGGAAGGGGCTATGTGATAAACTTTCCATAAAACCCCATATTGCTCACACTGCTATTGAATTTGTTTTTACAGATAACCTGAGGGTAGTATGTGTGAAAATATAGTATTTAAAAGGATTTATTCATTGCTTTAATTAAATCAATAATATGAGTCTTGGGGACTGTTGCTCTTTTCAGAGGTCTCCTGCTACCTTCTTTTTGTTTACCTCTTCTTAATTGCACACTGGTGATCAATAAAAGCAAGAGATATAAATGAACTGGAGCTTCTCTCTTAACTTTCCCACCTCTTGTGAAACTCTGAGAGGGAGCTCAAGGCATTTAAAACATGCATAATTGGAACTGTGTGACAAATGAAGCAAATGACATACATAAAACCTGATTGCAGTTGTTGTATTTTTTAAGGAAAGAGCTGCAGAACTAAACTGAGGTTTCAATACCCTTGTGTACAAAGTGAATTTAGCTTGAGCATTTTTCTTTTGCTAGAATTCTTGATAATTAGTTTAATTAGTTTCATAAATTATATTCATTAAGTAGCTTATTATCAGTGCCACTGGTATCAGTGCACAATAGGTAATTGCCACATGTAGAAATACTGTAGCTGAATGCGAGTGCCATACATACAGGTGGCATTTTAAGCAATAGAAGACAAGATGGTTGAGCAAAATACTCCCACAATTTACAGGTAAGGAGCAGTAGTCTGTTATATTTTATCACCTTAGAATATGCAGCACAGAACTGAGTAGGGCATAGCTGAGAGTGTGATCCTCTGCAAAATCT